AGTTGACACCTCCACACGCCATGCACCATCGTTATCGCGTAGAGTACCGATCTCCTCACGCAAGGCATTGACCTCATCACGTAACTCCCTTGACTCATCCCGTTGAGGTGGAGGTGGAGAACAGGGATAGGAGTCGTGGCATCTTTGCCGGTCGCCTATCATGAGGTGATGGTGGAGAAGAGGGTCGATGATGTGACGGGATAGGTGATGGCTCTCGTTCTAGAGGTGTATAGTCGGGTCGATCGGGTGATGGCTCTAGGTGAGGTGATGGCTCTCGAATTGGAGGAAGTGGATGCTGCTCATCATCCGTGCCATCAAAAAAACTCTGACTAGCTTGCCACCAATCAGTGGCAAGCTCTTCCTCCGTGGGTGTCAGTCTTTGTAATGGAATGTTGGCCTCCTAAAATATAAAAACTCAAACAAAGTTAAACGTCTACTATTAATAACTTGTTTATATATATGAAAGTATTTGTGTTAACTTACATTATTTATTGTCGCATATGGTATTAAGTCTTCCCAATCCAACAGAGTTTTCCTCTTCCAGGAAATAGCCCTGGGAATATCATTTGACGTTTTGATTGCATATGTACGCATGCTGGGGAAAGCCTCGAATATCCAAATCTACAAACAATATAATAACAAAATTAGTAATTGTTAAATAATTAATTATAATTTTAGAAACATTATATAGAAATTCTTACCTTAAAGGCCCAAACAAAGCCTGACAAAGTGTATTTGGACCCATCGCCCCGCAAACTTTTGCGGTCATCAAAGGCAGACGACAACTTAGTCCAGGTAGCTTTCCATATATATGAACCCCACGGAAACAGATTCCATGCATTCAGGTCCTCTACCAATATTATTAGCTCCCGATGAATAGGTTGTCTGGCCTCTCTGCCTAAAAAGCCGGCATACACAAGTAGTAGAAGGCATACTCGGACAACATCGACGTCATCCATCCGAGTGAAACCAGCTTTCTTATTAAATAATTTCTTCAGGTCGTCGACATGTAGGTTCGGCTTCTCCATTGACTCATCCGGAAAAACCCGGGATAACCATGATGGGCGGGCGATATGACGAGTGTACCGGCCTACATCATCGTGTCCGAATCGTAGACCAGTGATTAAGCAGAACTCCTTCCGCCCAAAACAAGTATACGCTGGTGGAAAATGAAACCATATCTCTTCCTCACCACGTTGTATACTGTCGGGTAGATTTGATGTCATGGTCTAAAGCCATAAATGGGTCAAATTAGCATCTCCACCCGGATGCTGTACTCTCAGCCATGGCCCGAAGCAGGTTTCCTCAAACAATTGTCTTTGAGCAGGTGAAAGCTTCGAAGCAATTGTAGTGGCCAGGCTGACTTTATTTCTCAAGGTCAATTGAGCCGAAAAAAATTTCTACAAAAACAATAATAAACATACCAAGTTAGATATACCAAAAACTACACTGTGAAGATATACTAAAAACAATAAACATAAAAAGTAGTAGTTTATTCTTGAAACTAAAATTTGCAACACTGTTTTGTCTTTGGGTTGAAATGAAAATCGCAACGAGAGAATCGCAACGCGAAATGACAATCGCAACGAGAGAATCGCAACGCGAAATGAAAATCGCAACGAGAGAATCGCAACGCGAAATGAAAATCGCAATGCGATTTGGTTTCGCGTTGCGATTCTCTCGTTGCGATTTTCATTTCGCGTTGCGATTCTCTCGTTGCGATTTTCATTTCTCTCGTTGCGACAGTCATTCTCTCGTTGCGACTCTTCTGCAAATTGAAACTTGAATGGATTGCATTACTTCAACCAAAAGACAGAACAAAGACAAAGACAAATACTAACTTGAAAATCGCAACGACAGAATCGTAACGCGAAATGAAATCTAAGTGAAATAGTTAATCTATTATTGAAATGACCAGTAAACTTATCATCAGTTTCAATATGAAAAACCTACAATAATGCAAACATTTCAAAATAAAATAATTAAAAAAACTAACCCTCGGAGGTTGATTTCCATTTCTGAATATTGTGAGGGATTTCTGACCGTGAATGGTTGTGAGGGATTTCGCCGGAGATGGGGACGGAAATATTCGGAGATGGGGACGGATTTCTTCGCCGTAGAGAGTGAGAGATGGAGATGGGACTGAGTTGTGATTTTAGGTTTTAGGTTATGAGTTGCGATTACGGGATTTTGTCTTAATATTCGTTTTTGTAATTTGAAAATAAAATACGCGTAGCGATTATAATGGCGCTTTAAATATCGCGTTGCGATTTACGGATTCTCGTTGCGATTTACGGATTATCGTTGCGATTTACGGATACGCGTTGCGATATACGGATACGCATTGCGATTTACCCATACGCGTTGCGATTTACGGATACACGTTGCGATTTACGGATACGCGTTGCGATTTATGTGTTCGCGTTGCGATTTTCATATTCGCGTTGCGATTTTGGAAAATCGCAAAGCGAATTTGTACTATCGCATTGCGATTTTCAAGAATCGCGTTGCGATTTTGGAAACTGATTTGCGATTCTGGGGATCGCGTTGCGATTTTTATTTCGCGTTGCGATTTTATTGGTCATTTTGGCAAATCCAAAAAAAGTTGGTTAAAATCGTATATTATAACTTTTTTTTGTCACTGAGGCGATTTTCTCTTTGATAAATGGGGTATACGGTATGGAATATTGTAATGATTGGTTTTAGTTTGAAAAGTGAAAACTAAAAACCCAACAAATTTGGTTTGCTTAAATTTTTTTGTAATATTTTTGTAGTTGTAAAAAATAATTATTTTTTATTAATTAGGGGCATGATATTATTTAAATATAACTTTCAATTATTTTCAAATACTCACATCTCTTACACTTATGATACTCGAATTAGGATCTTTAATAAATAACAATAATTATTTTATCACCAAATTTGTTTGATTCGTATATTTATAAAAATATAAAGAATCAAAATAAATTAAAAAAATATAATCATTTAAATATATATTAATTTAATTATTAAAGATAAAGTTTACATACATAGGTTGTCACTCAACTCATGCAAACAAATGTCTTTGGCACTTCTCACACGTGTTTTTTTATTTTTGGATAAATTTCCAATCATTTTTGTATGTTGACCTTTATTTTTTCTTTTTAACCTCAAGTTTTTATTTTTATTTTTTTCAGTCAAGCCTCGATGATTGAGAAACTCTTAGGTGACCATTGGTTCGTTGGAATCCCTTGGAATTAGGGGAAATTGTAATCCAATTCTATCATTTTTTTATGTTTGGTTCAAGTTTTCAAAGGGGAATTGGAATCCAATTCTATCAAGGGAGAGAAAGTAAATTTCATCCATAACATGATGGAATTGAAATACTTTAGAGGAGGGAATGTGAAATTTGACCATACTATCATCATCAATCTTTTGGTATTCAGGTCGGATTTTTAAAAAAAAAATTTGAGTTCGGGTCGGGTTGGGTTTTTTTAAGTGTGATATTCGGGTCGGGTTCGGGTTTAGGGTGAAAAATACCCGACCCGACCCAAAAAAATATATATAATTTTACCTTATATATTTAGGAATAATTACAATAATACCCCTCTATATATATTTTTTTTCAATTAAGTTAGTGTTTTTATTGAATAAAAATATATTTTTGTTGAAAACATTTTAATATTTCGATATAACAAATTAAGTTAAATGAATTTTAAGATTTTCCAAAAGGTTTTTCGAGTATATTCGATATAATTATTCGAATATCAAAATATTACTCCAAATCTTTCAAATGTCATTTTTAATCCTTACTCAAGTGTAAAATTAAGTTTTATTCTTAAAATAATTTCAAAACAATTTTATAAAGAATTTCGAACCATTTCAAAGCCAAAAATTCCAGATTGCTCAGAGGGAACCGATTTCCCCCAAGAGGGTACTGATTCCCCCTGAATGGTTTGGCTCCGAGAAAAACAGAATGCTCAGAGGGAACCGATTCCCCCCCAAGGGGGTACCGATTCCCCCTGTTTAACGGTCGAAATATTTGAATTTTACACTTAGGGAACCGATTCCCCTCACGCTCCAAGCTGTTTTATTAATTGATTTCACACTAAAACGGCTCCATTGACTCTACTAATCATCCCCAACATTCAGAATCAATTGAAGGAGTATTTAAACAAGTTTAGAAGCCATTGATAAAAAACAAGAAAACACAAGAAACAAGAATCAAGAGAGAATCAAAGAGAAAGCATCAAACCTCAAGTTTGAGCATTTCAAGCCTATTTTTCATTCAATATTCATTTTGCTTTCAAGAACACTTGTACTCAATTGTATTCATTTTTTAGTGTTCTTTTCTTTGTTCTAGAATTATGCAAACAATCTACCTTGTGAGGATTTCCTTGTAAGTTTGCAAATTTGTAATATTCTCTTTGAGAAAGAGTGTTCTCAAGAATTGGGGTATATTCTTGAGGGAGTTGTAAGGTTATCTCTTTGGCCTCAAAAGAAAGAACAAATTAGTGAATTTGTTGGAAAAATCCTTAGTGTGTATAGCTAAGGTAGTGGATGTAGACTTTGGTTGAGAAAGTTGAACCACTTTAAATCACTGTGTAAATCTTTTCAATTTTCTGCAAAAGTTTCCACCAAAATTTTTATTGCCAATTCACCCCCCTTTTTGGCTCCATCGATCGATTAACTCAACAATTGGTATCAGAGCCTCACTCATTTGAAGGTTTAATCGCCTCTTGAGTCGATTCGGGAAGAGTTACATCGATTATCAAGTCATCAATGGCCTCTACAATAAATGTCGACTCCGGTCTCGATTCGATGCCCGTCAACAAGCCTCTTTTCTTCAATGGAGCTAACCATGCCTATTGGAAGAATATGATGATGTATTTCATTCAAGCAAGTGACATGGGAGCATGGAATGTTGTAGAAGACGGATATATCAAGCCTCTCACTCATCCAAGATTGTGGAGTGAAAGAGAGACAAGAATGTTCCAGCTCAACTCCAAAGCCATCCATATCATATTTTGTGCTCTTGGACCAGATGAATATGGAAGAGTTCCATCTTGTACAACGACCAAAGAAATATGGGATAAACTACAAGTCACTCATAAAGGCACTGACGAGGTAAAATAATCTAAAATTAGTCTTCTAACACATAGCTATGAAAATTTCAGGATGAAACCAAATGAAGATATCAAAGCTATGATAGATAGATTCTCAACGATTGTCAATGGTCTCAAGTCATATGGAGAGATCATTCCAAACGAAAAGCTTGTGAGGAAGTTAGTTTACTCACTTCCAAAATCGTGGCAATCCAAGAAGACGGCAATCATTGAGGCTAATAACCTAAAGTCCTTAACTCTTGAAGAGCTAATCGGTTCCCTCCTCACTCATGAAATGATGCTTGAAGATGAGGTGGACCTCGATAAGATTGATGAGACACCAAAGGAGAAGGAGAAGAAGAAAAACATTAGAGTTGCTCTCAAATCCACAAAAGATGAGAGTGATTCGGATGAAGATAACGATGACGATGACGAGGAAATGGCATTGTTTGCCAAACGGTTCAGAAAAATGATGAGACCTTACCGAGGAAGAAAATTCAAACGAAATGAAGGCCTCAAAAATGAACCAAAAGAGAAGGACCCTATCATTTGCTATGAATGCAAAAAGCCAGGGCATGTCAAATATGATTGCCCACAATTGAAGAGAAATGGTCAATCAAAGAATAAGCACAAGGCTCACGTGGCTACATGGAGTGATGAAAAAGGTTCCGATGAAGAGGAACAAGAAGTAGCAAACTTGAGCTTGATGGAATTCGAGGAAGATTCTAAGGAAAAGAAGCATTGCTACAAGGCACGAGAAACAAATTCAAACTCATGGTACCTTGATAGTGGATGCTCAAGACACATGACTGGAGACAAAAGCCGGTTCATAGAGCTTAACACCAAAAATGGAGGAGAAGTAACTTTTGGTGATAATTCAAAAGGTCACATTGAAGGTATAGGTACAATAGGTAATACCTCTTCCATACAAATTAAAAATGTTTTATATGTGAATGGGTTAAAGCATAATCTTTTTAGTATTAGTCAATTATGTGATAAGGGATTCAATGTCATGTTTGAAACTAATGGTTGTAAAGTCATTGACATTGTATCTAATCGGATTATGCTTGTTGGTAATAGAATAAGAAGCATTTACAGGGTGCATTTAGATTCTATAGAAATAACTAATTTATGCCTAGTTACTAAGGATGAACATGATAGTTGGTTATGGCATAGGAGACTAGGACATGCTAGTATGAGTGTTTTGCAACGGTTAATTCAAGGAGATTTGGTTCGAGGGCTGCCTAAACTAAAATTTGATAATGATAAAATCTGTGATGCTTGTGCTAAAGGAAAACAAAAGCGAATTTCTTTTAAATCCATTAATGATGTATCAACTAGTAGAGTATTACAATTGATCCATTTAGATCTTTTTGGGCCATCTAGATCTACTAGTTTGGGTGGAAAACAATATGCATTTGTCTTGGTAGATGACTATTCTAGATATACTTGGGTTCTATTCTTAAATACTAAAGATGAAGCATTAGAAAAATTCATCACATTTTCAAAAGTAATCCAAAATGGAAAAGGTTACTCTATAACTAGTGTTAGAAGTGATCATGGAACTGAATTTGAAAATCTTGGATTTACTGAATTTTGTAATTCTAATGGTATTAGCCATAATTTTTCAGGACCTAGAACCCCTCAACAAAATGGAGTTGTTGAGAGGAAAAATCGAACTTTAGAAGAAATGGCTAGAACCATGCTTTGTGAAAACAATTTGCCAAAATATTTTTGGGTGGAAGCCACAAATACTGCTTGTTATGTTATTAATCGAGTAATGATTAGGTCTATTTTGAAGAAAACTCCATATGAACTTTTTAAAAATAAAAAGCATAACATTAGCTATTTCATCATTTTGGATGTAAATGTTTTGTTTTAAACAACGGTAAAGACAATCTTGGCAAATTTGATGCTAAAAGTGATGAAGGAATTTTTCTGGGTTATTCCTTAAATTCTAAAGCTTATCGAGTATTTAATAAAAGAACTTTAGTTGTAGAAGAGTCTATACATATTATTTTCGATGATAATCTCCTTCCGAGGAAGGATTCTTGTGTGAATGATGATGTAGGGATTATAAATATAAATGACGTTGGACATGACGTTAGAGAACCATCATCAAAGGAAGAAACGAAAGATGAGGAAACTCATGATCCTCTCGAGAATCCAACCATTGAAGAAAGGGAAGTATCTTATCCAAGAGATTACAACTATGTCAAAGATGGTGAAATTATAGGTGATCTATCCAAAGGGGTAACAACTCGATCTTCTCTTAGAAATATTTGTAATTATGTTGCATTTATCTCATGCATAGAGCCTAAGAATATTAAAGAAGAATTAAATGATGAACATTAGATTATGGCTATACAAGAAGAGTTAAATCAATTTGAGAGAAGTAAAGTATGGACATTAATGAAAGGCCTAGTAAAATCTACTGTAGGTACTAGATGGGTATTTAGGAATAAGCTTGATGAAAGTGATAATATAGTGAGAAACAAGGCTAGACTTGTTTCTCAAGGCTATACTCAAGAAGAAGGCATAGACTATGATGAAACATATGCTACTGTAGCTAGGATGGAAGCATTAGAATGTTATTAGCATTTGCATGCTTTCATGAATTTAAATTATATCAAATGGATGATAAAAGTGCATTTTTAAATGGTTTTATAAAAGAAGTGTATGTGGAACAACCTCATGGTTTTGAAGATTTTAAATTTCCAAATCATGTTCTTAAATTGACAAAAGTGCTTTATGATTTAAAACAAGCTCCTAGAGCTTGGTATGAAAGATTGTCAAACTTTTTTAATTGAAAAAGGTTTTTCAAAAGGGAAGGTTGACACTACATTGTTTTTAAAGCATAAAGGTAAAGATTTATTAGTAGTTCAAATTTATGTTGATGATATAATATTTGGTTCTACTAATGATGTTCTTTGCCAAGAATTTTCTAAGCTAATGCAAAGTGAATTCAAGATGAGCATGATGGGGGAGCTCTTATTTTTATTGGGACTCCAAATCAAGAAAAGAAAAGATGGCATCTTCATCAATCAAGCTAAGTACGTCAAAGTTATGCTCAAGAAGTTTGGACTGGAAAATGGGAAACCTCATGACACTCCAATGAGCTCATCAACAAAGCTTGACATAGATGAAGGAGGTAAATGTGTGGATGTTAAATTATATAGGTCAATGATTGGCTCTTTGCTTTATCTAACCGCAAGTAGACCGGGCATTATGTTTAGTGTTTGCTTATGTTCTAGATTTCAATCATGCCCTAATGAATCACATTTACTAGATTTTTGCCTCAAACTCTCTTCTCTTCTTCTTCATGATGTTCTCCTCTATACTCTCACCCTATCTCCATATTTCATCAAAAACACCGTTTTTAATCGGAATTACTTCAAATATCAACTCCTAAACCTGTTGAAATCATCAAATTTGTGCAAACTTCATCCAATCTCACTCAAATCTTAAATTCTTCAAGGTATTTTTCTAAAACTTCTATTTTATCATATTTGAACATAGGATTAGTTTTAATTAGTTCTAGGTTGAACTTTAGATCGGGCATTGATTGTTTAGTGTTTAGAAACTAGATTTTACAACTACTTTCATCACAAACACAAGAATTTTTCAAAATTTTGAAACTTTTCGAAATTAAATTTTTTTTTTGATTTAATTATGTTGTTATTATGAAAACTATATGTATATTGATTTTTAAAACCTTATTTTTCAATAGTTTTAAAAAACTTTGCCCATTAGGATTGGTTTAGAGAACCTTGAGATATTGAGGACTCAATTGAGTTTCGAGATTGATTATATTGCATACATGTGTTTTAAAATTGTAGGTTATTCTTTCCATTCCGATTACCTTAAATCATGTCTCACAAACATTCTAGACCTTCTTCTAGTCGTTCTAGCCAACCTCGAAACTCACCTCCAAATCCTCCACCTATCCAACAAATTCCTATTCCTAATCTCGATGATCCAAACATGACCATTCACAATTCTTGCTTCAATGAACCCGGTCGTAGACAAAATCTCCATTTTAGGTTTTGTTAATACTTTGAGTCCTACAAAATCCGGGAAGAACGCATCCCATCTCTTCAAGCCATGTTAGATATCAATTTTCAACATCTTCATACTCTTCAAGAGTGGAAATTTGACAAACTTTTTGAGCTTGAACCAATAGTCTACCATCAACTCATTCGTATCTTCTACTCTAATGGCGTTTGCATTCAAAATCGGGAGAAAACCTTTACCACAGGAATTTGATCCTATCTTCTAGGACGATTCTTTCATCTTGACTTTGAATACATAACCAAAGCATTATGATTAGATAATGACGGGTTAGACAATGAAAAATTGACGGTAGGATCTCATTATAAACGAAGGGATAATGCGAGTGTGTTGAATACATTTTGATATTTCAATATAACAAATTAAGATAAATGAATTTTAAGATTTTCCTAAAGATTTTCTAAGTATATTCGATATAATTATTCGAATATCAAAATATTACTCCAAATCTTTCAAAAGTCATTTTTAATCATTACTCAACTGTAAAATTAAGTTTTAATCTTAAAATAATTTCAAAATAATTTTACTAAGTATTTCAAACCATTTCAAAGCCAAAAATTCCAGAATGTCCAGAGGGAACCGATTCCCCCCCAAGGGGGTACCGATTCCCATTGAATGGTTTGGCTCCAAGAAATTCCAGTATGCTCGGAGGGAACCGATTCCCCCCTAATCAATGGTCGAAATATTTGAATTTTACACTTAGGGAATCGATTCCCCATGAGGGGGTACCGATTCCCCCCACGCTCCAAGCAGAAATATTAATTGTTTTCACACTTAAACAGCTCCAATAACTTCATTAATATCCCCAACATTCAGAAGTGATTCAAGGTGTATTTAAACAAGCTTAGAAGCCATTGATCAATAACAAGAAACAACAATCATCAAGAGTTGAGAGATAATCAAAGAGAAAGCATCAAACTCATTGTTTGAGCACTTCAAGCCTATTTTTCATTCAATATTCATTGTGCTTTCAAGAACACCATTTGTGCTCTATTGTATTTATCCTTGAGTGTTCTTTCTTTGTTCTAGAATTGTGCAAACAATCTACCTTGTGAGGTTTTCCTTGTAAGTTTGCAAATTTGTGTATTTCTCTTTGAAAAAGAGTGTGCTCAATAATTTGGGGTATAATTCTTAAGGGAGTTATAAGGATACTCTTTGTCCTTAAAAGAAAGAACAAATTAGTGAATTTGTTGGAAAATCCTTAGTGTGGATAGCTAAGGTAGTGGACGTAGACTTTGGTTGAGAAAGTCGAACCACTCTAAATCTCTGTGCAAATATTTTCAATTTTCTGCAAAAGCTTCCACCAAAATTTTTATTGCCAATTCACCCCCTTTTGGCCATTTCCATCGATCGATTAACTCAACAATTGGTATCAGAGCTTGACTCATTTGAAGGTTTAACCGCCTCTTGAGTAGATCCGAGAAGAGTTAAATCGATAAAGATGGCGTCCACTTCCGGTTCATTCTCCATGGAAGAATCTAGACCAATTAAAGCGCCTCCTCACTTCAATGGAACAAATTATCGTCGTTGGAAGAATTTCATGATGATATTTATCCAAGCATTTGATATGGAAGCTTGGATGATGATCGAGAAAAGGATATTCTTCTCCTACGAAGAAGGCAAAGAAGTGGAGTGATCAAGAACGGAAGAAAGCTCAACAAAACACAAAGGCTATGCACATGTTATGTTGTGCAATTGATCCTAATGTATATAAAAGAGTTTCTTCTTATTCAAGTGCCAAGGAGATGTAGGATAAGCTTGAGGAGATCTATGGAGACAAGGAAGAAGAAGAACCAATAAATGTGATGTCTCTATTAGCTCTCACAGAGCTAAAGGTATCTTCTAACTCAAATAAATTAAATTCAAAATCTTTTAATGAGTTACAAGGTGCTTATGATGAATTATTTTCAGAGTTTGAGACCATGAACTCCAAATACAATAAATTGATTTCTAAATTTATTGCTAAAAATGATATTCTTTTGAAAGCTAAATCAGACTTGGAAAATCAAAATGAAATGTTGAGAAAGAAGTTAGAACTTTCAAAAATAAAATTTGAAAACTTTGAAAAAGAAATTGTCAAATTAAACAAACTTCTTTTAGAAACGAAAATGAATTTTGAAAATCAAAATGAAATCTTGAAGAAGGATTTAGAGCTTTCAAAAATGAAATTTGAAAGTTTTGAAAAAGAAAATTTCGATTTAAAAGTTAAGCTTGAATGTTTAACAAAAGAAAAAGAGATCATTTTAAATAATTCATCTAGTTCAATAATGACAATATGTTTACATTGTCATTATCATGGTCATAAGGAACATACTTGTCCTTTAAAGAAAGGAAAACAATTTAAAATTAGACAAGTATGGGTTCCAAAAGGAACAAGAGGCATTGAAACTAATGTTCAAGGATCCAGAGTAATTTGGATACCAAAATCTACTTAAATGTCTCTTGTAGGTGTGTGAGAGCAATGGTGATGAAGATGATGATATTCAAGATGTTTTAGCCACACATGAAAAAGGAATGGGTAACCTCTAAACTTAATGTTTTATTTTATTGGTTGCTCATTTAGTTTATGCATGCATGAGGTTTTTAATTCTAAATGATTATGTTTTATCTCATGTATGTTGAAAAATATTGTATGATGAACATAATAGTTTTTGGTAATGTTTTATAAACTCTAGTTCATCATATTAATTTTTGGTCAAAATTGTTTTTAAAATGTAATTGATATCTCTTTAACAATTGATATCGATTTTTCAGGAACTTTGGTTTTGCAAAATTTTGACCTTAAATTTTTCTTAATGATTATGCATATTTTTTTTAAATATTATAAAGTTTTAATGCATAACATTTTTCAAAAACTTTATGCATGTGCTCTTAATCTCGATAATCAATATTGCATAATGTTTTGTATGTGAATAGATTAAAGCATAATCCGATTAGATGAATTTGACAAAAGATACAATGTCTTATTTTTAAATTAAGTGTTTGCAAAATTGATTGACATTGCATTTACTTTGATTATGCTTGTTAGTCATAGAATAGGAAACATTTACATGGTGCATTTAGATTCTATCAATATGACTAATTTATGCCTAGTTGCTAAGGATGAGCATGATAGTTGGTTATGGCATATGAGACTAGGACATGCTAGTATGAGTGTTTTGCAATGATTGATTCAAGGAGATTTAGTTAGAGGGTTGCCAAAGCTAAAATTTGATAATGATAAAATTTGCGATGCTTGTGCTAAAGGAAAACAAAGGCGAATTTCTTTTAAATCCATTAATGACGTATCATCTAGTAGAGTATTACAATTGATCCATTTAGATCTTTTTGGGCCATCTAGATCTACTAGCTTGGGTGGAAAACAATATGCATTTGTTTTGGTAGATGACTATTCTAGATATACTTGAGTTCTATTCTTAAGTACTAAAGATGAAGCATTAGAAAAATTCATGACGTTTTTCAAAAGTAATCCAAAACGAAAAAGATTACTCTATTACTAGTGTTAGGAGTGATCATGGAACTGAATTTGAAAATCTTGGATTTACTGAGTTTTGTAATTCTAATGGTATTAGCCATAATTTTTCAGCTCCTAGAACCCCACAACAAAATGGAGTTGTTGAGAGGAAAAATTGAACTTTAGAATAGATGGCTAGAACCATGCTTTGTGAAAACAATTTGCCAAAATATTTTTGGGCGGAAGCCACAAATACCGCTTGTTATGTTATTAATCGAGAAATAATTAGGCCTATTTTGAAGAAAACTCCATATGAACTTTTAAAAAAAACCCAACATTAGCTATTTTCATCCTTTTGGATGTAAATGTTTTGTTTTAAACAACGGTAAAGACAATCTTGGCAAATTTAATGCTAAAAGTGATGAAGGAATTTTTCTGGGTTATTCCTTAAATTCTAAAGCTTATCGAGTATTTAATAAAAGAACTTTAGTTGTAGAAGAGTCTATACATGTTGTTTTCGATGATAATCTCCTTTCGAGGAAAGATTCTTGTTTGAATGATGATGTAGGTGTTATAAATACAAATGACGTCAGACATGACGTTGGAGAACCATCATCAAAGGAAGAAACGAAAGATGAGGAAACTCAAGATCCTCTCGAGAATCCAACCATTGAAGAAAGGGAAGTATCTTATCCAAGAGAGTACAACTATGTCAAGGATGGTGAGATTATAGGTGATCCATCCAAAAGGGGTAAGAACTCGATCTTCTCTTAGAAATATTT